GTATATATACACATAGGTGTGTGTATGTGTGTATGTATATATGTACAGTACCCTCCCTGTTGTTTGTTTGACTTGCGACTATATATAATAATGTTACATGTGTACAGTACAGTCCAGTCCAGTAGTATACAGAGTTAACCGAGTAAGTAAGCATGTATGTTTGTATTGCATATTCCGTGTCGAGCCAGCGGCACAGTAAATCAGTAGTCAGTGACTATAAGACATGACTATGACCATGACCATGACCATGCGTATGTAGGTAAAAGAAAGGTATAACAAAAGCTATATACATGAAAATAAAGTGATTAGAAGTAGTAGTAGTACAAAGCAGAGGAATCTGTTCTGCTTAAAAAAAAAGAAAAAAAATTCTGCCCTTCTAGGCATCACCGAGATATCGGATCATGAAGAGAAATCTTCTATGAGTCAACGCTGGAAACTCTTCGAAGGGTGATATCGTTCATCGTCATGGGTCGTGGCGATCATCAGCAGGTTCGCTCTGCGTGGAACTCTTTTCGCCGGTCGTCGAATCTGATTCTAAAGCAAGATCACCCAACGTCCATCGCCATTTGCAGCGCCGTTTCCGACGGCTCTGACGAGGAGTAGTCGGTGTGGACCAGGATGTATAGCTCTCCCCATCCAGACCGTCTCGCAATGCCGCGGCGCGGATCTGTCTCTCGCTCGGGACGGATTTCCTTCTCTTCCTCCGGGACTGCGATTGAGGCGATCTTTCTCCCATCTCTGGTTTGTCTTCCTCCTCATCTTCGCCAGAGGAGCTCTGGTCCTCCGACGCAGGAATAGATGAATCAGATCCATCGTCGGACTCAGATTCCTCCCCCGACTCCGACTCTGAATCGGAAGACAGATCCGAATGCCGTGCGACAAACCGTACCGTCCGGATTTCCTCTTCCAGCGGAAACCGGTAGCTCACTTGCTTCTTGGCCGGGAAATATACATGTCGACTCTCAGGAACACCGCTGGCTGTCATCGACATAGAAGGCCGTCGCAGTGACTTGGCCAGAGGCGAATTGCGGAGGATGCTTCGCACGCCCAGCGGTAACTGGTAAGGCACAGAGTTATCGGATCGAAAACTGAAAGGATATGGAGAGCCATATCGAGAACACTTGTTCGATGGCTTCGTCGGCGACGGGTTTTCCCCCGCGGACAGTGGTCGGGTGATATAGGCGTTGTTAAAGGTGTTGAGGACGGTCGGAGAGGCCGTTTCCTGACCGCATGAGACAGGCAGCGAGGACGTCTGGAGAGACAGTCTGGGGCGTTTGGTGATGCTGGTGTTATGCTTCACTGAGGGAGTGACCGTGGTGGTGGCCATCTGGACTGTTGCTGGTGCGGCGGAGGAAGACTCTCCGTCGGTGCGATGGCGCATGTGAGGTCCTTCCAGGTTCAGATTCATGGGGGAGAGGGCAAGCATGACGAGAGAAACAAAGTTGATGGATGGGCTCGTGGAGACGTTTTATTTCAACGAGATCGAGACGAGATCGAGATCTGCGACAGGGAGCTCCTGCAGGAAGTGGGACTGCTCTCCGCACTGACACCCCGCAGGGGCCAGCGAAACCACAGGCAGACAGATTCTGGTTTCGTCAGCAGCAGAGCTATTAATAGTCTGTCTGTTTTGTACGGAGTATGCCGTGGAGTTGTTTGATCAGCAAGAGGCTGTACCGGTGATCTGTACCCGTCCGGCGTGGAGTCCCGACCACAGGTCCACAGATGAGAACGGTGGAAAGGGAGGGGTAGCCATTCTTATTAGTATTTGAGATCTCTCAGATCATGGCCGTTCTTTTTTTCTTCCCAACACAAGCACTGCGTCAACAGCTAAACTAAGCAACAGCCGGGTTCCGGAAATAGGATCCTGCCATCGAATGGGAGTCGCCGCGCTGACGTTGAGCAAGCGCCAGCCAAGCGCCACCGACAAGGGTGCTCACTCCGACAGGCAAACTCTTTCTGCGATGCTCTGATTCCAGACACTCCACCATCCGGTCGATGTGGCGGGCGGTTGGTTACCTATACAAAGTAACCTCGTGCCAGTGGAGTCGCGGGCGGAGACCGAAAGGGACACGCGGCCAGTTGGGCAACTGGGCGAGGGAATGCGCCCGTAACAATCCTTCGACCCAGACTATGTCTCTCTTGTGCATGCATGGATGCGCATAGAGAGAATAGCAGTGGCAAGTCGGCCAGAACCGGGGAAACGATGTGACGGAGCTGCAGCGGGCGGATGGATCCGGTGGGACAGTCACTCTAAAAAAAGGACGCGAGTCTGGTCTGGCCGATCTAATAATAATCGCTCGTTATCAACCGCTAGTTGGCATTATTGTCCGCCAGAAAACTTTGATTCGATCGATCGGCCAGCCATCAGTAGACGCTCGAGCATTTTGCCACAAACAAGTCGAGAGCTTGACTGGACAGGCAATCGTGTCTCAAGTTCCTAACAAGCAGATGACTTGCTCTGTCACTGTTGCGGGTGCAGTCACGTGCCTTGCTGTACAGCCACAGCACGAGATATGCATGCGCCACAGAGATGTGGCGCGGAACACCCGCTCGAGGATTGCGATGCTGACGAGCTTCATGGGAGAAAAACAGCTCGGTTCCTGCTCTAGTAGAAGTCCAGGCGCGCGTATCCGCCGCTGCCGTCGCACAAGTTCTCTCTGTAGATCATGTACTATTTGGTTCCATTGCATACTCTTTCTAACCTGAATGCTGTGGCTGGGCCAATAGCCTCTTGTCAGCTGGCTCTGCGATCTTCCTGCCATGTCCCTGCGGAGAGACGACAGCCGCGTCATTATCCACTTTGTCAGTCCTCGAGCCAAAAATATCCGTCACCTGCGGGGCATCAAGTGGTGACATGCTGGACTGATTATTGACGAGCCTACAGGACTATGACTGCTTCTACGCGTCCGTCTTCGAGGCAGAGAACCCCGCGCTGAAGTCCCTTCCGCTCGCCGTCCAGCAGAAACAGATCGTCGTGACCTGCAACTATGAGGCCCGACGACGCGGATTGCGGAAACTGCAGCTCATCAAGGAGGCCAAGAAGATCTGCCCGGACGTCGTCATCGTCCTTGGAGAGGATCTGACCAAGTTTCGGGACGCGTCCAAGGGACTCTATGCCTTTCTTCGTTCCTTCCTCTGGGGCGCACGCATCGAGAAGCTTGGCTTTGATGAGGTAGGCCGGGGATTAAGAATGTCAATGAACCTACCTGCTCTCCTGAGATCCAAGATCTGATCAGACACGCCCCATAAATAGGTCTTCCTCGATGTTACCGAGATGATCGACTACAATGTCGATTTACTGAACCAGCACGACCTGGCTCACTCCTTCTTCCACCTAGATAAGCTGGATCCCACCCGGGGCTTCGAATTCGATGCTACCCGGTTCTGTGGCCCTACCTATCCGGCTTCACCTGACGATGCAGCAGTGCTCTCCGATGCTCTGTCCATGCGTCTCATTCTGGGGTCTCACTTGGCTAACCACCTCCGGACTCGACTCGAAGAGGAGCGGGGCTACACTGCCACTGTTGGCGTGTCCACATCAAAGTTACTGGCAAAGCTGGTAGGCAATGTCAACAAGCCGAACAATCAGACAACGCTTATTCCACCTTATGTTGGGGACGGGAGCAATGTCACTCGTTTTCTCGACTCGCATGAGGTTGGCAAAGTCCCGGGTATCGGGTTCAAGCTAGCTCACAAGCTGAGAACACATATTCTGGGCCGCGAACCGAGCTCGGAGCCTTACACAGCACAGCCTCACGAGGATCGGGTCACTGTGCGGGATGTTCGTTTGTCCCCCGGCATGGGGCCTGCCCTATTACACAAGATTCTAGATGGACCAGGTGCGCCCAAAGACATCGGAGTCCGGGTATGGGCTCTGTTAAACGGTGTCGATTCCTCGGAGGTCCAGGAGGCAAGAACCGTGCCCACTCAGATTAGCATTGAGGACTCTTACCGGGGACTAGACCATTTTGATGCAGTGAAAAAAGAGCTCCGATCCCTGGCTGTCAGTCTAATCCGTCGGATGCGAGTCGATCTGACCGAGGAAGATCCCGAAGATGTGCCAGCTACTGAGATGGAGGGGCTGCAGAGAGCCCGAAAGGTGCGCTGGCTGGCCCATCCACGCACCCTTCGGCTCTCTACGCGCCGTCGAGCGCCGTCGAATCCGGATGGCTCGCGTGATCACAGCTTCAATCGGGTCTCCCGCTCCGGCCCTGCTCCGTCATTCATCTTCAATCTGGAAGATAGCGTTGAGGCTGTTGCGAATCGGCTTGTCGATGAAAGCCTGCTCTCTATGTTCCGCAAGCTCCACCCCGAGAAATCGTTTAGGGACCTGGGCTTGATCAACGTCGCCGTGACGAACATGGTCGAGAGTGCTGGGGAGCAAAAGCAGAGCAGTGGGCGGGACATTAGTAAGATGTTGAGGCAACAGGAATCGGTTCTGAAGGACTGGAGGGCATCAGAGCCCAGCTCTTCATCTGTGCAGTTGGGGGGTTCTCAGCTCTCCCAAGAAGCGACTACCAACATGCCAAGTTCGGCTCCACCCCGTGACACCCTTGGACAACAGCAGGAGATGAATGATTCTTCCGTTGTTGATGTCGAGGATGCCACGTGGGAGGACAGTGAGGACGAGGAACTCATCTCCAACTACCGGTGTGATAAGTGCGGTGTGTTCATCCCGCATTTCGCACTCTCTGCTCATGCTCAATATCACGAGGCTCCTGATTGAACTCCTATACCGACAAGGATATCAATGCATCCAAAGAGTGTGGCGCAGCAGTCGACCGTGACTTGACCCCAGGTGATATCCTGGGTTTTCTCCCCGTGCAGGATTTGCTGCCCCGATTTCAGCCCGGCAGAGACTCCGTCCAACGCCGGCAGAGAGTGGGACCAGGAGATATACTGTCCACTTCTAACCCTTTTACCAGCTGTGCATAGTCGATCAATCTCCAAAGTCGTCAGAAGCGAGGCTTCTGGCGAGGTTTCTCTCCCCGATGAAGTTTATGACGTAGTTCCAAACACTACATGTAATGAGGCGATGGACTGCTGTAGACAAATTAACAACACGCCTTTTAGGATGTGTAAATCCTTCACTTTTTCACGGCTAGAAACACGATACACAGTACGGAGTATTCCGTATACCACACCAAGGACATTCTTAATGACATGCATAATAATAATCATGGGATCGGCTAGTCTTTACGCGTTTGGCCGGTTTTGGTTAATGCTAGACGGGCGGAGAGTAGGTGATAAGCGATCATATCCACTATCTGGGCGCTAACTTGAGATCTTTAAGATTACTCCGTAGTTAACTTACGTGAGATGGATATGCTTGATTGAATAGAAAATCAAATACGCTGGTAGAGCATTATTAATCATCACAGCGAACACTTGTGGTTGTTGTAACAACGGAGGCCTGAGGCTTGGCAGGCTGGCCTCGCATCGCAGCGACTGCCGCGGAGACTCTTGGCTGCGTCGAGCATCTCCGTACCACCACCCTCTGTCCTTCTCCTTCCATCGCTATCTCCTTCCTCTCTTTCCCCATTAATAATATTCGCCAGTGTTCCTCCTTCTTCGCTCATTTACTCACGCTTGGCACCGCTGGGGGTTGCCAATTGGACTCTGCGCGTTGTGCATCTGCCTCCTCCACGCGATTCTGCCAAGCCTGCTGCGCCCCAGAGGATAAGCGCCTACATAGGTAGGCTGCCACGATCGATTGATAATCATTCTCGACGCCCAATCTTCCCGGCTACATCCTTCCCGGCTTGCTGAAATGCGACCAGAGACTTGATACTATTATACAACGTGAGAGAGAGCGAAGCTGTGTTGTACGGGAGAAGCGGGGAGGATAAGCCGCGATACGGTTCGTCGCCCGGAGGACTTTGGGCAACAACAATTGCGATCCCTCTCGCTGTCTGATTGAGACCGTTCCGTACACGCTCTGTGCGAGTTCGAAGCGTGCAATCACTTCTTGAGCATTACCACCGTTTCAGGTTTTGGATACTTGCTTGTGTCTTGCCGGAGAGAGTGATATCCTCCTGCATTACATGGGAGTCTCGGTTCCTAGAAAGGTGGTGCAGAGCTGATTTGAAGATTTATTTATTGGATATTTCACCACAATACATAGCCTGCTCCGTCCGTTGACGGACTTCTGTGAGGATGAAGTTTTTTCGCAGTTGGGTCCCCCTGCTGCTCAGTGCAGTCTCCTTCCTCACTGATAATGTGAACGGTATGTGGGCGTATCACTAGTTCTTTTTCATATCTGTCTAACGAGTGCAGCGCGATCCCGGGCTCCTGATCCTATCACCTACGTCTCTGAACTAGAAAACCCCGTCATCCACACTCCTTCCCATCGGGTCACTTCCGTGTCGCATTTCGATGTCACATTCACTCTCCATAAGAACGCACAGCGATTGAAATTGGCCCTCGAACCGAATCCTGACATTATCGCGGATGATGCCCACGTTCAGTACCTGGATGCTGACGGGAATGTGAAACACACTGAATACATCGATCGGTTGGCGCACAGAGTCTTCAAGGGATCGACATGGATCGAAGAATCCCCTGGCATCTGGTCGCGAGTCGGCTGGGCGAGAATCTATGTTAAGAGGGACGGGCCCAAGCCGTTATTCGAGGGTGCTTTCAGTGTCATGCACGACCAGCACCACGTGAAACTCCGTTCGAGCTACATGAAAACGAGACGGGCGTCCGATGTCGATCTGGAAGACAAAGATGACGACTATATGGTCGTCTATCGTGACTCCGACATGGTCCCCCGGGATCTTTCAGAACTCAAACGATCCTTGTCCTCGTCTCCATCGTGTCATGCGGACGAACTGAGCTTCAACTCAGATCCGAACCATCCCGTTTTTCGAGGGCTGTCGGAGCAGTCGCATGCGAATTGGGGCGCCATGTCTGTCAATCAACTCCTTGGTCTTACCCGACGGCAGTCAGACATCAGTGGGACCGGTGGAAACGCTGGCGGTGTGAACTTGCAGTCGAACATCGGTAATACAGCAGGATGTCCCAAAACCAAGAAGGTTGCTTTGATTGGGGTGGCAACCGACTGTTCGTTCACTGCCGGATACAACTCAACTGAAGATGCTCGAGGGAATATTATTACCATGGTTAACACGGCGTCAGATCTCTACGAGCGCACCTTCAACATCTCAATTGGGCTGCGGAATCTAACAGTCAGTGACAAGAACTGTCCCAGTCCAGCCCCGGAATCCGCGCCCTGGAATATGGACTGCAATAGCGGAAACATGACGACCAGATTAGATCTCTTTTCGTCATGGCGCAGCTCGAGGGACGACTCGAACGCCTACTGGACTTTGATGACTGGCTGTCAGTCGGACGATGAAGTGGGTGTGTCGTGGTTGGGCCAGCTTTGTGTTATTGGATCTGGCAACAACACAGTTTCAGGAGCCAACGTGGTGGCGCGCACCCCGACCGAGTGGCAGGTGTTTGCACACGAATCGGGCCATACCTTTGGCGCCGTGCATGACTGCGACTCCCAGACCTGCGCACAGGGGCTCGAGACGACCTCCCAGTGCTGTCCGCTTTCGTCGACAACGTGTGATGCGGACGCAAAATACATCATGAATCCCGTCACGGGACAGCAGCAGACCCAGTTCTCACAATGTACAGTCGGAAACATCTGCTCCGCCTTGGGTCGCAACAGTGTCAATTCCAGCTGTCTCGTTGACAACCGTGGGGTGGTCACCATCACCGGCAGTCAATGCGGCAATGGAATCGTCGAAAGCGGAGAAGAATGCGACTGTGGAGGAGTAGAAGGCTGTGGGAACAACCCCTGTTGTGACGCACAAACGTGCAAGTTCAAGAACGGCGCAGTCTGCGACGACTCCAACGAGAACTGCTGCGTAAACTGTCAGTTTGCCCCGAGCAGCACTGTCTGCCGCCCTAGCACGGGACCTTGTGACCTGGAAGAGAAATGTACGGGGACCTCTGGCGTGTGTCCTCCAGACCAGTTCGTCCCCGACGGTCAGAGCTGCGGCAACTCGTCGGCGGGTCTTACTTGCGCCAGCGGCCAGTGCACCAGTCGCGACCTGCAGTGTCGGCAGGTGATGGGCAGCGTGTTGGATACCAACGACACCTACGCCTGCGACAGCAGCTCCTGTACTCTGTTGTGCGCGTCGTCCAAGCTCCCGATGAACACGTGCGGCTCGTTGAATCAGAATTTCCTGGATGGGACGCCGTGCATCGGTGGCGGACATTGCGTCAACGGCCAATGCGTGGGTTCCAGTGTTGGCGGCGAAATCAAGTCCTGGGTCGACGACCACAAGCCGTTGGTGATCGGACTGGCCGCGGGATTGGGCGGGCTTTTGGTGCTGATGATTCTGAGTGGCATCATCTCAGCCATCCGCCGGCGGCGGTTTGCCAAACCGGTACCTCCCGGCGCAGGTCCGTATCGGCGGAGAGGAGGATATACTGGCCTGCAACAGCAGGGATACTGGCCATCGAACACTGGGTACTATGGAGCACCACCACCTGCATACGCTCCACCGACATATGAGCAGTCGATGGGGAACCGGGGCCGTATGCCATCTATGCGATATGCATGATTATTACAGATTTTTTTTTGGAATAATGCGCCTGTCTTTTCTTGTCCTCTCTCTGACTCTTTTTTCTTTCCTTTTTCCTTTTTTTTTCTTTTGTCATCATGAGTTTTGTCTTAGTATCACGATGCTATACTTGTAGATAGATAACGTCTCGGTTGGGTGTAGGCAGGCTGGACGGCTGGCAGGCTGGTAGGTAGGCATAGGCATAGGCATAGGCAGGTTAATGTTATAGGGAGGTATTATATTTTATTATAGTTATAGGCACTGGAATCCTTTCCTTTCTGTTCTTCTAATTCTATAATTAAGGGAAGTAGTCTCGTGTTTTTGAATCGGATGAACTGGGTGGTTAGTAGGTAGGTAGGTAGGTACCTGTTTTACCGAGAACCACTGAGATAGGACAGAGAAAAGAGACTGTCATGATTGCCATTTCATTTCATTCATTCCATTCCATTCCATTATTCCATTCCGAGTCAGTCAGTAGCCAGTCAGTAGCCAGTAGTCAGTCAGTCCATCAATAAATAAAATCACAGAAGCACGACAGACACATAGGCACAGACAGGAGAAACAGCATAGGCCAAAAGAAAAGGAGAAGGGAAAAAAAATACAAAAACGAGAAATAGCTACCTAGATACATATTCATGCATGCATGTATGTATGCATTATCCATTCATCCATCGCCCCCTCCAGTCAGTCCGACAGTCCGACAGTCCAAACAAACAACATCCCTTTGAATAGCAGGCAAGTGACCAGTAAAATAAACAGATAGCAGATCGCGGATAACAGACGACAGATGGCCAAATTTGGGAGCACAGACCAAAAAAAAAAGACCAACACCAATGAGGACTCCCCCTGGAAGCTCACAAGGAAGACATAAAAAGAAAAACAACTCCGTATGTGCTGCTCGCTCGCTTGGACTTATCGATCGATCAATCCGTTTCCAAATGAACAGGAACTCCGAAGAAAGATGGAACCTGAACTTTGAGGACGCCCCCAGAAATAAATAATGAACAAACGATATAGTTGAAACTTTGGAGGCCAGAAAAAAAAGGATTTCCACAAACTCCAGGTCTGAAATCGAAAAAGCTAAAGCGTAGCAAGAAGTCGACAACGGCGAAAAAAAAAGTATCACTGCCAACAGATGCTCACGAAACCTTCTCGCGTAACTCCTCCTACGCCCTCAAGATCGAATTCTTCAATCATCGCCCTCAGCTCCTCCTCCTCTAGCCCTGTCTCGCCCAGCTCGCGCGCCACACGTCGCAGATCCTCCAGATCGATGTAGCCCTTCCCGCCTTCGTCGAAGAGCTCGAACGCACGCAGGATCTCCTCTCGGGGATCCCGCTCCAGGATCTTGTGCGCGGTGATGGTCTGGAATGCGGAGAGCGGCATGAGGAGGGACGATGGATGGGGCGGGTTGTTGGCGTTGTTGTTCGCTTTCGAGGCCTGCGGGTGCTGCTGTGACGATTGCTGCGATTGCTGCTGGACCTGGGGCCGTGGCACACCGTATGTCGTGAGAAGAGAGATCAATTCCTGCTTGGGAAGCGTAAACCCGAGGGCGCGCAATGCAACTCGAAGCTCATGGTAATCGAGATGACGGTCCCGGTCGAGGTCGAAGAGTGTGAACTGGTGACGTGAGCTTTCGTTAGCATGTCGAAGATCAAGTCACAGGTTTCACCAGTATTGCAAAGTCTGGAGATATCCTTACAGCCTCATTGATCTCTTCCCGCTGCTCCTCTGTCAGTCGATTCAACGGATTGGACGCGTCCTGCGAAGACATATGGCTCTGCGAGTGCGCCGGCGGCGGCGGAGGCTGCTGCTGCTGCGCCGACTTTCCAGCGTCATTGCCGAAGTCGCCCGTTCCAGGAGTCTGCGCCCCGAGTCCACGATGCCGCGAAAAGGCAGATGCGCTGAAAGGAAGTGGATTGAGTGATCGGTCGGGAAGTTTGCCGCTGGCGTATGCGGACCGCGAACCGAACGGAGGGTGTGCAGACGAAGCCATGGTTGTTGTTGCGATGGAATGCCAGGGTACAGACGAGATTTGAGTTAGGAAGTCGTGGAGATGAGGACGACTTCGAGGGTTCGAGAAAGGGTATAAAGACGATCCACCCTCGACGGAGGGGCAGCGCGCAGGGAGGGGTTCTTTGTATGTAATATATGTATGCACAATACTGGGCAGGGCAGAGGTTCATTCACTCCGCTGGTTGTGGAAGGGACGACGCGGGTAACGCGAAGAACGGGCGGGCACTTACGGAGTACCGCCGCCCGCACCAGCGCTAGGCGGGAGCCATGCTGGCAGTGGCAACACCCTGTCATGATATGTTGTTTCATCAGGCAATCCTGCTACTTGTGATTCGTAATGTCGTGTCTGGTAATTCCAAAATTCTTTAATAGAATGACTTCCAATTGTGCTTTTTCCACTGACAGTCATTACCACATGAGCACACTGACCTCGAGTGTGACTGCCCAACTACCCAACTCTCCAGTATGTCATAGTCCAAAAGCAATACATGGAATAATAATCTCATGGAATAATCAATTCGAAAAGGCGTAGAAATAAAATAGAATAAGAGACAAAGAGATAAGCAACATAAGAGCCGCATTCCAAGAATCTTGTCCCAAATCGTCTCCTATCTAGCATCGAAACCATATTCGGGTATCAAAAATTCGGTAGCTTGCCCAAGTTTTATAAGCCGCGTCTGGGGTATCACCACAACCGGAAAGCAGATCGCATCAATATACAACTTTTAACTGTCCAAAATAATCCTAAAATGACCACGGAGGATTCACAGTTCCGGTATACCACGCACGAGGTCAGAATTGCGATCGAGGGAAACAGGGAATCAGAGACCGCAGTTGTTAGTGAGACCGGTAACGCATCCACAAGGGGTATCAAATCGTGCACATCATGAATGTTGTCAGGCAAAAACAAAACTGGAGAACGAATCTAAGTCTAATGGCTTATCATCAACAAGAGGGTCGTGGTGAGTACTCGCATAGGCGGTGTCGCTGGCATGATCAGTAGCATCTAGAGTTTCCGCTCCGCCTTGCTGATGAGGCTTATTTCCAATTTGCGGTCCAGGAGACAGACTGTCAGTTTGCGTCGATGTGAGTCTAGAAGTCACGGAATACTGATCGTAATCGGTCCAATAATCAAAGAGGGCATCATCCTCAGTTGTCTGCCTGTCCGAGGTTGCGCCATCATTGCCCATGAGGACTTGTCGTTCATCCAAGGGAGACCATGAGACGTCCTGATCCGTGACAGCTTGGCGGCCCACTGCAGGCAAGCATCGGGAGTAGCTCGCTGGCGGGCAAGGCACCTGTCCCGCAGAAGCCTTACGAATCATATCGATATCGAACTGTTCGTTGAAGAGGTCGCCCATCTCATACTGCGGCTGATCATATGCCATTTCTTGTCGAGAGGCCGTCGTGGAAGTGGGCCCCTGGGTTTTTGAGTAACTGGCCCAAAGAGCGATGTCATACCCGCCTTCCAGAACGGGAAGTTTAGGAACAATCGAGGATAGACAGTTATCTACCTTGGACTCATTCAGTAGCTCACTGCCAGAACCCTGAGACGGCGGCACCCTGGTCAGCAGATAACGGATTCGTGATCGGATAGCATCCAAATGCGATCCAATATTATCAAAATCGAATATTTTGGAGACGAGTCCACCTGACTCCAAGTTGCTGATAAGGCCGACTATCACTTCGTGATAGATACCAATCGCAAGCCAGAGTGGGTTCACACGCCGGGTTTCTGCTGCATCTTCTGTACTGGTGTTTTGCCGACGAAGTTCCTCACCACGAATTCTTTTCCAGAGATCCAAGCAAAAGTCGGCAGATGTCTCACCAAGGGTTATCGCAAGAAGAGTCAAGACAAAGAACACGGTGGTTTGCGCGACTCCCATATTCGCCGGCGAAACATACACACGTGAACCCAATAGCGTTACAATGGTTGCGAATAATTTCAACATTTCGACCGCATTCTTGACAATACGGGATTCCGCGGGGTCAATAACCAGATAGTTGAGTTCTGGTACTTTGATGTCTGCCAGCAAGCGAGTAATCCACCTCTCTTTCAGACTGTTGCCTTTAGTGCCATCAACAGGCCATTTCAGTTCGGAGATATTAGCGGCCAGGAGATTGGGAGATCCATGAACGCCTCGTCGGAAATCCGCAACGATTTGAGTGACGAAAGGCTGCTGAGACCATGTGTTCTTTAGATGACTCAGTACCTCATACGCGCGCTGGAAGGTACGGTCTTTGGAAACCTTCTGAAGATTCTCCGGCTTCTCGAGTACAGGGATGAACAGCCATAGTTGTGAATAGCCACGAAAACATACTCGACCATTCGCGGTGCACTGGGCACAAATCTGTTCAGAGTCGCATCCCTTTTTGTTCTTATAACACCAGACACAGGCACCACCACACTCTTTCAAAAGGCGGTTATCCTCCTTTTGCTTTTTCGCTTCTTCATTTGTTTTCCGTTTCTTATACGGACGAGGGGAAGGATTTTTGGGGTTCTCAAAAACAATTTTGATATCTGGCGCTTCAAGTCGAGTGAATTGATCGGTATCGGAAATGGTTAATGATGGTGATGCACTTTGAATTTGACCTAGGGATTATGATTTAATGTCAGTCGGGGTTGTCTCCTTTCTGAACCACACATACACACGGATTTCCTTTTCTACAAAGAAAAGGGGGGAAAAAAAGGCGAGAGAATACAAGGAGAAAAAATAAACACAGAACCCCACCTTGTGTCTGCTGGGGTAGCAAGGCCCCTGAATCGGCAACATGTGCATGTGGCATTTGCAAGACCATTTCTGAATGACCCTGCCCTGTACTAGCTGCTACAGGCCTGACCGTATACCGAAACTGAATGTGTCGAGAGTAATTGATGGTGAGATGATGGGGATTCGGAGAGGCAGCAGCCAGGCCAGCGGGCGGCCCAGTAGGGTCAACGTTCAATCTAAGATTAAAGGAGGGAGCAACATCTCGAGAGTAGACAGGCGAATTGAGGCTCAGACTCCGAGTAGGATTATAGGGACCTGGGAAATGAGCGCCACCAGGAGCATCAACTTGGTGTGGATGGTTGCCGAGCCCGTAACTAGCAGGATTATTTGCCAACTGCACGAATGGGTTGGGAGAGGCCAAAGTTGAAAAGGAAGGGCTTGTTGGAGACATATTGCTCGGCAATTCAGAGGTCGGAAGCTGCTGTGGATGAACAATGATCAGTAAGCATACACCATAGATCAAGAGTGGAATGAGCAAGAAGTAGAAGAAAAGGGAGCTTGGAGCATAGGGAACGGTGTCCGTGAAACTTACAACACCAGACCACATGAGGTGAACCGAAGGCGGCAGCTTCCTCCCTCGTGAGCCATAGGTGGCAGCTGGTGAGGGAACAGAAGAAGAATGAGCGACTGTGGAGGGTTCATAGACAAAATGGTTGGAAAACACATTTGGGTCCATGGTCCAGACAGCACAAAGAACAGAAGTGAGAAACAGCAGGCTAAGAGGAGAAAGTTACATTGCAGACACAGGGCACAATGTAGGTGGCGGGCTAATGAGAGGGAAGGAAGAATGAACACAGGACAATAATAGTTTGGCTATCAATATGAAGAAGGGATCGCGATGGAAAGCAGGAAAATGCGAAGGCAGCGAAATCCGGGGTGGGCAAAAAAAAAGGTTGAACCAGAAAGGTGTTGTCAGTGGGTGAGGGCGAACTGGTGGTGTATCCGGGGCAAAGGTTAGGGCTCACTGGGCTGCGAAGTCCATGGACAAGGCAGCCAGCAGACCACAATAGAGACGAAGCTAAAAAGAAACCCACCGGGGAGGACAGCGGTATTTAAGCAAAGGAGACAATAAGAAGCAGAAAGGAAAAGGGACGGACATTTGCGACTGGCCAGCGAGGGTGCTGGTTCGAGCAGAGTGAGGCGGAGAGCTCTCGACTGCTGACCGCCCTGAGGCTGATTTGCCTTTGGCAGACGGCCTCCGACACAGATCCGGTTAGACTGCCATGATGGAGGGATGGTGATTGGATCGAAATCGCATTGAAAAAGGCGGTGGCATACATATGTCCGGCAGAAAAAGTGTTTACCCCCGCGTTTTCCCCAGGTCAGTCGGCAGTGATAGGAACGAAGAATGGCGACAGGAGCGATTGCGAGTGAAAAGATCCATTTCAAAGAATAGTACAGATCTACTGGGGATGGCTGGAAGTGTTCTAAAGGCAAGTTCACCACAGGGAAAGGGAAAGACCCAAAGACCCGTCCGTTCCACCCAAGATGCCGTGCAGCTTCAACTGTCATGGGGAGCCAGCCATACAAAACCGCCAATGGTTGATAGGAAATCCAGGATCAGAGAATTCGCATCACAGCACATGCAACCACAGAGATGAGCTCAGGTCTGCTCGACTAAATACCCTGTCACACAAATGGTGGCTGTTCCTGTCTGTACGGAGTAATTAGGCAACCACTGCAGCACGTGACTGCTGGTCCAGCGGATCGATACCTGTCTAGGCAGGTAACTAAGACAGCCTGGAGCTGAGGTATTATATAGACATCACTGTGACTGAATGGGCCTGTGGTTCATGAGGGGCCTACCCAATGGCCTTCTCATGAGCCTTAACCACACAAGACTTCATTTGCAGATATCCAATCCCTTGCAATGCAGCGATAGGGAATATATTGATCTCGTGATGAGCGATTTGAGTGAGAAATGCTCATCCCTGCTGGGTAAACAGGTCCGGGTCCACCTGCTGCCCCAGATCGTGGTCCTCGAGGAAGCGTCGTCCACGCAACTTCTCCGGCAAGTATTCCTGGGCTACCTTTCCGTCCACATAGTTGGGGTTGTATTTGTACTCCTTGCCATACCCTAGCTCCTTCATCAGCCGCGTTGGAGCGTTCCTCAGGTGATAGGGGATAGGCAGGCCGGCAACTCCAGGCTCTTCCAACGCCGCAAAAACGTTGTTCAACCCCCGATAGGATCGCGTACTCTTCTTCGCCAGGGCCATGGCAACGGTGGCATGAGCAAGATTGATGCGGGCCTCAGGGAGTCCAATCTTTTCAACGGCGCTGTGGGTGGAGACGGCCAGCGTCAGCATGCTGTTGTCCGCCAAGCCAATATCTTCGGATGCCACCACGATCAGACGGCGCGCGATAAACAGAGGATCCTCCCCGGACTGGATCATCCGACCCAGATAGTAGAGGGCGGCATCTGGATCGCTGCCTCGGATCGACTTGTGGAACGCTGAGATGGTGTCGTAGTGCTGATCGCCGGCCCGGTCATAGACCAACGTCCTAGTCAACGATTTCTTCAAGTCCTCCTTGGTCATTCCGGGGCGCGTCGACAGGTCCATGGCCAGTTCCAGAAGGTTAAGCGCGGTCCTTGCGTCCCCGTCGGCAAACGTGGCCAGGTACCGAATCAGTTCCTGGTCGACCAGTTCTGAGGGGGAATAATTGGGTCCCTCGACCTCCAGGGCCCGGTTCAGGATTGAGACAATGTCATCATCTGTGAGCTTCGACAATGTGAAGGTCCTGCACCGCGACAGCAGGGCGCTCTGGACCTTGAATGACGGGTTTTCCGTCGTAGCGCCAATGAGCGTGATGGTGCCACTCTCCACAGGCCCCAGAAAGACATCCTGCTGGGACTTGGAAAATCGGTGGATCTCATCGCAGAAGACAATCGTCTTGCGCCCGGTTAGGCTCAGCTCGCTTCGTGCTTCCGAGAAGATCTTTTTGCACTCCGCAACCCCGGTGCTGGTGCTGTTGATCTCGATAAACCGGCTGCCCACCATCGAGGCAATGACTCTGGCAATTGTCGTTTTTCCCGTGCCTGCTCCGCCCCACAGGATCATACTGGGGACTCGGTCCTGCTCAATCAGACCGCGGAGGACGCCATTGGGACCGACGAGCTCTTGACCACAGATCTCATCGAGGGTTTTGGGGCGCATGCGTTCCGCCAACGGAGCAGCTTTCTCCAACGCGCTGGTCTTTGGTCTTTTTGCTGGGCCATCTGCTTCTGCGGTAGCCGTCGATGGTTCTGATCGTTTTCGCTTTGGTGTCTGAGGTAACGTCATGATGGGTCTGCGTCGAGGATCTCCTTAGAGGGCTCTCGTGGGACGGAGTCGTGGAAACGGCAGGCTGGGCCGACGCCTTCCGGGCAGAGGACGGTTGAAAGAAGCTCGTTACGAGGGGGCTTTTCTGGGAAGACGAAGGATCGCCTTGGCTGGAGCCGGGCTCGTCGACGAAACTCTGGCAATCGGAATCGATGTGGGCATTGATGTTGATCTCTTTGACGTTCTTCCCACAGATGGGGCACGAGACCATGTTGGGACCGTGTCCGTGTGCAGGAACGATGGCTGGTCAATCCAAAACAGAATTTTTCAATGAATTGCAGTAAATATAATCGACTATGCTCTGTGCTGATCGATATACCTCTGTTGGTGAACGACCACGAGACGCGTCTTCCAAAAATAATTAGAGCGCGCGCGGACTCGTCTCGGCCTTCGGGATGACGCAAATTGCATGCCTGATGTTAGCCTTATTTTCCAGGCAGAAACTGTCGTAATCGTTCCTGGAGACATGATTGAAGCCTTGACATCGGGATTATCGAGTCTGTTTTTCTCACTAGGCAATTAACAGTAAGGCCAGACATCTCCAGCGCCTCCTGCAGCGGTGCTGGTGGAGCTGCTTAGCATCAAGCACGCAATCGCATCCAGCCTTTCGCCAGCCAATTGCCGGCCCTGTTTTCCAGAGAACCATCTCCCCGCTGGCAGCCTCGAGGTCTCCGGGATCGGATTGCCTCCATTCGACTCAATTGAGCGTCCAGAATCACCAGCGCCAGCAGGCGTCCTGCCCTTGCTGCTCTCCATGTTTGCCTGCTCGAAGCAGCGCTTTTCATCAGCATTCGTCGCGCTCAAGAAGGCTCCGTGTCTAGGTTCCCCCGCAACCTTATCGGTCTCGTCCCCCGCGTTCCCATCGGTGGTCTTCGCGCAATGTCCGCCACCGCTGCCCGTGCAGACCCTTTTCGGCCTGCGAAGAGGGTCGCAGGCCAACGACAAGATGTCTGGTTCGTGCAGGCTCTCCAAATGGTTCTGAAGGAATGAACTGCTGATCAGTTCCATTGCGTCTCAGGTCTATCGTCAATGAAGCCGCAGCCGCATCGCCAGTCCAGCCGATTGTGAATATGGGACAAGGGTTTTTGTGAGTATGCGGCCGCATCGATTAAATTAGAGCATGGTAAGGAGCGGACTAACTGTTGTCGTTTTCAACAGTGGCTATAACCCTCCACAATTTGCCATCGATGCTGCGAAAGAGGCTCTCGACAAGGTGGAATGCAACCAGTATTCGCCAACCAAGGTACGGAGCCCTCGTCTGCTTGGAGAATGGGCTTGATCTCATCGTCATGCAGGGTCGGCCACGCCTGAAGAAGGCCATTGCGGACGCCTATTCTGCGTCTTTCGGTCGGAAGCTCGACCCGGACACGGAAGTTACCATCACCACCGGCGCAAATGAAGGTTGGTTGGAGATCGCGGTTCCGAATAAGTTAGACGCTCGAGCTGACCAGCGAACAGGAATGCTTTGTGCATTCATGGCCTTCGTAGAACCTGGCGACGAAGTCATCGTCTTCGAGCCTTTCTTTGACCAGTCAGTGTCTGCCAGTGTTGGAGTGAGGGACGGAGTTGACGGCTAGCAGGTATATCAGCAACATCGAGATGCCCGGTGGTACGATCCGATATGTTCCGCTACACCCGCCCAAGGACGGCGCTACCAGAACGTCGTCCGCTGCTGAATGGACCATTGACTTTGACCAACTGGAGAAGACGATCAACCCCAAGACGAGGATGATTGTGAGTGGACACACTAGTCACGTCCAAGAGATTCTCTGCGGAAGCTGACCGTCAACAGGTGCTCAACTCACCGTAAGCATCTGTCTTTCCATTTGGGGATTATGCTGTGATGTGCAGTGTCTAATAGTCGCAGCCACAACCCTGTGGGCAAGGTATTCTCTCGCGAGGAGCTCGAACGCATTGGCGCTCTGGCTGTGAAGCACAACCTGATCATCCTGTCCGACGAAGTCTACGACCGTCTCTATTATGTTCCATTCACCCGCATTGCGACTCTATCCCCTGAGCTGTATGAGCGTACTCTGACGGTCGGCTCTGCGGGCAAGGCCTTCTATGCAACGGGTTGGCGAGTGGGCTACCTGATCGGACCGCCCCATCTGATCAAGTATGTTGCAGCTGCCCACACGCGAATCTGCTACAGCAGCGTGTCCCCGCTTCAGGAGGCCTCCGCAGTGGCATTTGAGAAGGCCGACGCGGTTGGATTCTGGGACCAGAGCAGGACGGAAATGAGGCAGAAGGTGGAGCGGTTCTGCAAGGTGTTTGATGAGCTTGAAATTCCCGTAAGTTTTGTCATTCCCACATTATCTCTATCTCTTATAGTCTTTTTGTTTGTTCGGCCTGACCGGTCTCTTTTCAATCTGCAGTACTCTGATCCGGAAGGCGGTTACTTTGTCCTCGCCAACATGTCATCCGTCAAGCTGCCCGAAAACTACCCGTTTCCTCCACACGTGGCGAGCCGCCCCCGCGATTTCAAACTGTCCTGGTTCCTGATCAAGGAGGTCGGTGTGGCCGCTATCCCGCCGACGGAATTCTACACGGACGAGAACGCCCACATTGCGGAGGACTACCTTCGGTTCGCGGTGTGTAAGAACGATGACGTGCTCGAATTAGCCAAGGAGCGGCTCCGAGGGTTGAGGAAGTACATTGTGCGGTAGATAGAATCTAGAATCACAGGGGGCAAGGGCAGACTTTGCTTGATGTCACACTACCTTTGTCCCATGAAACAGAAACCAGGATTTAAAAAAGAATTGAATAGATAAATTTTTGACTTTATATAGATGAATGTATTCCTCCCGTTAGTCCTGTCGACGAAACGAAATGAAACGATACAGCATTGGAAATTCCTCTCTCTTTTTTTCCCCTTTCATCTTTTTCTTTTCATAGTGATTTGCATAAAGTAGTCTACTGTACATCGTCATCATAACATCGTAAAGTCATCGTAATCGTACAAGACAAATAAAATAAATACATGCTTGTTTTTTTTTCGTCCCTCATTGCCTGTTGCTCATTGCCAATGCTCAAAAACTCCATCCTGCCATGCAGTTCGTTGAACGCCGATTCCAATGCTAGTCTTCGTCCCATGCTCTGTTCCCAACGCCAGTGCCATGCAACAATCCTTAACGCAGATAGGAAATAAAAAAGCAGCCCCAACAATGCAAAAACATAAAAAAAAATCCAAACAGCGACCCAACACCCAAAAAAAGAAACAAAGACAAGCACAGGCAGTTCCACTCTAAC